ACTTGTTCATTTATGGAAAATAATCTATATATATAATATTAAATAATTACATTAGGCCGATCAAATTATTAGCACTTATCATTATATAGAATGAAATGCACTAATTGAGTGCGTATATGGAGTATCGACATATCTATCGCGTTAATTCGTGACGCTCATGAGCGCTAATTCGAGACCATGTGAGTTATTTTTAAGCACCTGATTTTCAAAATGACGCGCACGAGCGATATTTAGCATTTATACGGTAAGTATATTAATTAACTGCTTAATTTGGAACATGATCAAATTATGTACTAATCATAATCTTATTTCAGAAACAAGCGTAACGATAAGAAAGATTCGTTTATGGAGAATAGTCTACATATAATATTAAATAATTACATTAGACCTATCAAATTATGAGCACTTATCATTATAGGGAAAGTGCATGTGAAATGTACTTATAGAGTAGCATCAACTGTATATTTATTGCGTTAATTCGGGACGCTCGTGAGCGCTAATTCGAGACCATATAAGTTATTTTTGAAGCACCCGATTTTCAAAATAATGCTCACGAGCGTTATTTCGCGCTTATTCGGTAAGTATATTTAATTAACTGCTTAATTTGAAACTTGATCTAATTACGTACTAATCGTAGCCTCATTTCAGAAACAAGCATAACGATAAGAAATAAACGTGCTACAGCCCACAAGAAGCAAGATTCGCACCTGGATCTTTTTAACCCACGCACAATCCTATTAATATATGCTGCACATTCCTTTACGTTAAATCATTCAATGAAGTTCGATATCTGGCACTACTAGCTCGATGTATTTGAATAGTAATACTTTATATGCTTTTCAAAAAAAAAAAAAACATCACAAGAAATCAGAGTTTTGGCGTTTGTATATTTTGGTAATAATAATGGGAATCGAATATTATTTGATTGAATCTCTCTTTGGATTCTGATCCACAGAATTTACAAATTATAGGATTCACCAGATCGAATCCGAATATTGTGGAACACTATATGACACTGGATCAGTTCGGTACAAACTTTAAATAGGGTATTTTACACCTCCATACCATACCAATATACGTAATTTAGAAATGATCTTGACAGATAATAATTATTAATACAGACAATCTAATGTGAAACAAATAAATGAGAAGTGCAGCAGCTCATATTAAATACTTGGATCAATAAATAAACGCCACACTAATATGAATAAAAGTTAAAGATACTCATCTGATTTGGATAAAATAAGTGACGTATTTACGATTTCTAATTGAGCGATCTTTAAATCTAACCTTCATATTTGCATACTCTAATTTCAGAATTTAAAAAAATAGGGATTTTTAAACTCACTTATTTTCGAAATAAGTTACTTTGAAACTCCTATTATATTTGACTATTGAATATATATGAATAAGAAATTGATTAAGAAAAAAAAAATCTTGAAGACTTTGATTAATAATTCTATGAAAGCTCGCAAGTCAAATTTAAGATTTATGGTAATGAATTTAGCTCCAAAATTACAATACAGTCGATGTTCTGGTCGTTTCTATTATTTATATAGTATTTTCCATAACAATAATTGAATAAAAATATTAAAATAGTGCGTGAAATTTGAATATTGATAGTACATGTAACGAATTATAATTATTTATGGGTTTAATTTGTTACAGCAAAAACTTAAACTTTCGATTTGCAACACTTAAAAATCATAGATATGATCATAATGCAAATAAAAAAAATTAAAAATGGATAGATTAAATACCATACCATTCTGAAATTAAGCATCTCTTTTTTTTATTTTATTTTTTATAAAGATACTTAATTTTGGTTAATTTGGGTATAAATAAATTAAAAAGCAAAAATTGAATTAGTGATAAGATGTCCTTTACATTAAATTATCTCAAATACGAATGAGTCATTGAAATATACAGTTAGTATTATTCAACCTTTATTCCTTCCTGTATAGATAAAAACCGGATATCCAGCTTGATCACAGTTTAATTTTATAAGTAATCTGGTCTATTATCAAGATAACGGTAATTTGATATTATGTGACAAAGAGTCATATGAACTGATTTCAGCCTATCAGATTCAGCATCCACATTTCTTAATTGATTAATGCAATTCTGAAAAGCAATAAAAAAAAACACATAGATGATTGTCATGCATTTTTGTCGAAACAAAAACCTGCTAGATCTATTTGTATGATTAAACAAATCTCATAGAATGTATAAATATATACTATGTGATGAATATCGTGCAAAAATTCACATCTAATGCATTGTCCAATTAGTTATAGAATTTTGCGGACGCACATCACTTAACTTGCTATAGCAACTAGAGTTGTAAACTTACAGTAAGTTTTAATTTTTTAATGTAAGGTAAGTTATAGTCATGTAACTTACATGTAAGTATGTACGCTAAAATAATATATATAATTATTATATAATATATATAACAAAAATACCCAAAATGCAATATATAATTATATTTGACTTTTACTAAACGCATCTATGGTGTCTTACACCTATGTATATATTATCACAAAAACTGGCTAATTAACCGGTACAAGGTATTCTAAGTGAAAATGCTCAACACTTCTAAGAACCCTTCCCAAACCCTAACTCTAACCCTAAATACTGATGCTAATAGTTAGATTATAACTTACAACTTACCATACATTATAAATTTTGGATGTAACTTACATGTAACTTACATGTAAGGCAAGTATGTAAGTTACAACTCTTACAACCCTAATCGGGATTAGCATGAATGGCGTGATTCGGGTTTGCATAAAATTAATTAAAAGTTTAAAATAATGATTGCATGAACGATGAGTAAAATATGTAATAATCAGTGACGCAAATATGTATTAGTAATTAATATAAGGTATCAATCCTAAAGGGGGATACCTAGAACTTTGTAACTGAGAGTTCTTTGACCCGTGTTATTCTTAGTGAATAAACTGATATCTGTGTGCACATATCGTCGGTCAGGGTTGGCACATTTGTCCATTGGCATGAATGGACCCCAAGTCCATTGACCAGTTCCATTGGTTCCATTGGTTCCATTGGACGGTCACTATTCCAATGGACAAGCAGGTAAAATAATTATATCTTTTATAAATGAGTTTAGAATACTATAACACGTGATATTCGAGATTTTTTTTGACGTTGACCTTATTCTGACTTACACCAATGGACTAATGGACCTTGGATTATGATATTGATCCATTGACAACCTTATTTCAATGGACATAGTCCATTGCCAACCCTGTCGTCGGTGGAAGGACCTGTACGATACACAACCTGTGTGGAAATTAGCCAAGTGAGTGCAAAACGTTGGTAAAAGTCAAGAAGTACACGGTAGTCCGGTAAACTCCATGACATTATTACTCAAACAATCAATGGGATCCAGAATTTTACAAATTGCATTAGAGTTATTGTAATTTCAATCATGAGTTACTGTAAGAATTTTGTTAGAGAGCTTACTTGCTATTTCATTGACTAAAGTATATGGTTGAGTTAGCTTGCACTGTAATTATTATTATATTAGAACTATTGTAATATACCATAAGGTATTGTAAAAAATTCTCAAAACATACTTATTATTTTAGTGACCACAGTATTGGTTAAAGTTGAGGTTGTTTTCATTGAAATTGTCTTGATTTCTATGTGGTAAAGGTGAGTAAGTTTGCATTAAAATTATAATTTCTATCATGAGTTACAGTACTGTAAAAAAACTCTGTTACAAGGATGAGTTAGTTCATATTGAATTATCGTTGATTTCTATCATGAGTTTTTGTCAAAAGTTACTATTCTAATTGAAATACAGTACATAGTTCACTAATGCATCTATTAACGATATTCCAATTAATTAATAATTAATACTATAATTTATATGTGTGCAAAAAATCAGACCTTGAATGTTATAGTAATACATAACTGTGTGGTTTTAATTCTTGATTTGCAATTTCACATATAAATTATATATATAAATTATATTAATTTATAAATCGATTACAATTATATTATATATATAATATCTATATGTAATAAAAATTAAGTTGGTACATATAGGTGAGCAGATCAGCATATATATAGGCCAATATGGTATATACATTATATAATTTCTATAATTTGCTGATCCGTATACTGATATATACTTAAAATTACATGATATCTTTAAATAATTCATAGACGACCACCTGGACGAATTTTTCATACTTAAATCCTGTTTTGTCATCTAGTGGGGTTTAGTTTAGCATTTCCAAAACTGGATTAACGCTAATGACTTGTATATTCAATATTGTGAATTTCTCATGACATATAATCTGTGACCACTTATACCATCTCCTTTTCACATGTGCAAAATGATTGGTAAAAATGTCTATATACTAGGTAGTTCTTGTTTCTCTTTTTAGGGGAACTGTTAAAGCCAGGTACCATTACAAAATTTAATTATTAACGTTAAGGTTAGGGTCAGATTATGGTCTGTATGGGCTAAGGTCAGAAGATTCTTATAGGTAAAATCGTTTTTCGATATTTTTTCTTAATAAATCAAGATAGGTTTAGACATTCGTTTCTTGCAATTTTTACTTTCTTTTCTTCGTCGGGCTTCGTCGGGCTGATCCATGTAAACAAAAAATTCATGACTTTGATTGGTCACATACAATGGAAAATCTTATGAAGTACCTGGCTTTAACGGATCCCCTTTTTAGAAGTTTGTATTTCTGTATTTACTGGCATTAGTAAATAAAGCCACGTGTTATTTTTTGCGTAACAGAAGTACATAAATACGCAAGCAAACAAACAAAAAAAATTAAATTTTATTTTGATAGAATCAAAAAAAAAAAAATTAAGAAATACATAGTCACCTTTAAATTAAAAAAAAGAAATACGTAGTCTCACCTTTAAATTAAAAAAAAGAAATACGTAGTCTCACCTTTAAATTAAAAAAAAAAAGAAGAAATACCCAGTCTCACCTTTAAATTAAAAAAAAAATGAAGAAATACAATATACTAAAAGCAGGAAGCGTAAAAACAGACAGGTGATTATATTTTTAGTAATATTTTAAACTCTTTGGTTTGCAATTGTGAGGAAGTATTTTGGGTTAGCACAGATACCCACAGATAGACTGTTAAATCATTTTTGATAAGATAGTTTGTCCTTAGACTGCAAAAAAGTATTTCAAAGGAGTTTTAATCTGCTAATTTTGAAGAAAAAATTAGTTATGCATCTGTTTTGTTGTAAAGCTTTGTTTATTGTGTTATATAAAAATATATTACTTAATATGAAATAGCCGGCATTTTCACAATAAGTATTAATAAAATTTTCATTATATAGAATTAGATTTCAGAATATTTCGGTACAACACTAGAAAGTACAAAAGAAACTTTTACTACAACTGCCAGTAGCCACATTATATTTGAGAAACTTCCACTTCATAATCCTGATCTAGTTGCCGTTTCTGCTGAAGATCCAACTGTTCTTGCAAATGTTGTTTGTGTTCAAACAACAGGTCAACCCTATGATATAATAGACACACACGGTAATATAACTGTTTTTATAATAGATAGTTTACGCCTTAGTACATACACTGATATTTATGAAACCAGGAACTTTTAAACCTTGTTATTCAATAAACTTTTTTTGTATATAGTCAACTCTGTATACGTACAGAAATTTCAAATTTTATAATGGCTCAGTATTAAAAAATACTATGAGCTCTTAATAAAACAGTAATTTTTTATGCAAAACTTTCCTTTTCTTCCAAAATAGTCAGTTTATTATAAAAGGATAACTAGTGTTTATGTGATAATGAAAATAACGTTAAATATTATATCTTTATGAAAATAAAAATAAGTAAAAGTTATTTAAATAGTAAAAGAGTTTTTTAAGATAAACGGCCTTTTTTTTAGCGAACTTAGAGGATGATATGGATGATATAATTAGTTTAAAGCGAGCTTGAAGTTTGTATTTTGTGAATTTAAAAATTATACCTAGTGTTATAAATCGGGCAAAAAGTTGTAATTGATTAGTTGGTTGTAAATAATCGATTATGTTGATTACAATTAATTGATTAATCGATTATTGCAGTTTGCATAATTATATGACCCCTATGATTAAATTTTTTATGATTAAATTATTGTGATTGCCAGCCAAATTATCATCATTGTGGTCTGCATAATTTTGTGACCCTATGATTAACTTTTTTTTATGATTATTGCGTTTGCATAATTTTGTAACCTCTATGATTAATTTTTTTTTATGATTAAATAATTGTGATTATGATCGATTGCTAAAGCTAGTCAATTTATAATGAATCTAAGTTTATGTCAAGCTCAGAATTATGATAGATTAGCCGGCTTTAGCAATCGCGATCGAAATCACAATCATTTAATCATAAAAAAAATTAATCATAGGGGTCACAAAATTATGCAAACTGCAATAATAGACAATTTAAAATCTTGGAAAATTTCATCGTTTGTCATCACAAAAATCATGGGGTCACATCTTTTTGCAAAGCGCTATAATATGTTTTTGTGATATATCATTATAATTATGAAATTATACTGATACAATCCAATTTATCATTAAATAGCTAATATTGAAATAAAAATAAAAATTGGTTGAATAACTGTTGGAAGACTTCCTTTGAAAGAAGTTTATTCAAAAGTTACAAAATTGACAAGGGTGGTCGAACGACATCTCGCTAAAAGTGTATTCATTGTGAAGAGAACTTTGTTAATTTAATTAGTTAGTTAAAGGAACATTTAATAAAAAGTGTAAAGAGCATCCAAAAAATGTAAGATATTTATTAAAATTCAAAACTCAGTTCTATGATAGATAAATTATTTATTTAAAAATATATTATAATTTAATATCGGTAATAAAAACAATAAAAAAATTAAATTAAATCAGTCAAAATTAGGAATGGTAAAAAAACGGTTTAAACAGTTATTTAAACATTTTTTATTGTTTTAAAACTTTTTTTAAAACATCGAAGTCTGAGATAAAATTTCGCTAAAACTGAAAATATTGCTTTTGATTAATTAATTTGAGAAATTTTTTTTAAAAAAGACATTGCCATATAATTTTGAATTTATCAAACACAAAATATATTTGTTCGCTTTAATTTTATCAAAGCTGTCGATCGCTATTATTTTTTAAATGCAAAATTTCCTTGTCGGCTGATACTTTCATTCTATATTAGTTTTATATTCGTTAGTATTAAAAGTCCAAGGTTTACAATATTACCATTATGTAATAAGTTTTTTCGAATGAATTATTTGAAGACCAGAATCCAGTTTTTGAGTTTTTAATAAATCTTATATATTTCTTGAAAGATTTTTTTTTTACATTTTAATGGATGACTTTTTAATTGGTCGACTAAATCAACAGTCTTTTTTGCAATAATTACATTTTTGACGAGGTGCTGTTCAATTATGTTTGGGTCGGCAACTTTGTAAAGTTTAAACAGACTTATATTGATGAGAATCTTCCATGAATATGAGAAGAATTTTCTTATTCGATAAATTTTTTTTTTTGAATTTTGTAATCATAATACATTTAAATTACGCAGTAGAATATAATTACGTCACAATGTATTAAAACATTTTTTATCAAACATGATTTTTAAAATCGTGGTTTAAAACATTTGCCATCCCTAGTTTTGCACAATACCCATATTATCTAATTGAGTTACAGTAATTCATAAATTTACGTTCCTGGTTTCGTGTGACAGCGTCATGCAACTACCTTATTTTTCATAGTAGATAAATATTTTATGGTGGTTTGCAAAAAGGTGTGATATGACATAATGTAAAATCATGAAAAGTATAGTACTGTATATTTTTCAATTCTTGGAGAATTTTAAAGATTTCGGATAAAATATAGACGTTATTAATTGAAAATTCCAATCAATAGGGAATTAAAATTTCGGAAAATTTTCCACTATCATCACGAAATCACAGGGTCACCCTTTTTGCAAACCGCTATAATTGATCAATCGATTAATCGATTAGTTGGATGTAATCAACTATAATTATTTATTTATAACCAACTAATCGTTTGCCCAATTCATGACACTAAGTATAATTTTTAAATTCACAAAATACAAGCTTCAAGCTCATTAAAACTACTTTAAGCTAATTATATCATCCATATCATCCTTTAAGATTGCTAAAAAAAGGCTGTTTATCTTAAAAAGTTCTTTTATTATTTAAATAACTTTTACTTATTTTTATTTTCATATTTAACGTTATGTTATTCTTCTATAATAACTGACTATTCTGGAAAAAAAAGAAAGTTCTGAATATATACAAAAAGTTTATTGAAGAACAAGGTTTGGAATCATAAATATCAGTGGGTGTGTACTAAGGCGTAAACTATCTATTAAGAAAACAGGTATATTACTGTGTGTGTCTATTATATTGTAGGGTTGACCTGCTGTTTGAACCAAACAGCATTTGCAAGAACAGTTGGAAAATGGCAACTAGATCAGATTAAGAAGTGGAAGTTTTTCAAATATAATGTGGCCACTGGCAGTTGTAAAAAGATTCTTTTGTATTTTCTAGTGTTGTACCGAAATATTCTGAAATCTAATTCTATATAATGAAAATTTTATTGTGAAAATGCCGGCTATTTTGTACTAAGTAATATATTTTTATATAATACAATAAACAAAGCTTTACAACAAAACAGATACATAACTAATTTTTTCTTCAAAATTAGCAGATTAAAACTCCTTTGAAATACTTTTTTGCGGTCTAAGGACAAACTATCTTATCAAAAATGATTTAACAGTCTATCTGTGGGTATCTGTGCTAGCCCAAAATACCTCCTTACAATTGCAAACCAAAGAGTTTAAAATATTACTAAAAATATAATCACCTGTTTGTTATTACGCTTCCTGCTTTTAGTATATCGTATTTCTTCATTTTTTTTTTTAATTTAAAGGTGAGACTGCGTATTTCTTCTTCTTTTTTTTTTAATTTAAAGGTAAGACTACGTATTTCTTTTTTTTAATTTAAAGGTGAGACTACATATTTCTTTTTTTTAATTTAAAGGTGAGACTATGTATTTCTTTTTTTTAATTTAAGGGTGAGACTACGTATTTCTTTTTTTTAATTTAAAGTTGAGACTACGTTTTTTTTTTTTGGTTCTATCAAAATAAAATTTAATTTTTTTTGTTTGTTTGCTTGTGTATTTATGTACTTCTGTTACGCAAAAAATAACGCGTGGTTTTATTTACTAATGCTAGTAAATACAGAAATACAAACTCCTAAAAAGGGAAACGATAACTACCCAATCATTTTGCACGTGTGAAAAGGGGATGGTATAAGTGGTCACAGGTCACATGTCATGAGAAATTCACAATATTGAATATACAAGCCATTATCGTTAATGGCTTTATCCAGTTTTTGGAAATGCTAAACTAAATTTGACAAGTATAAACAAATCTTTATCCCACTAGATGACAAAACAGGATTTAAGCATGAAAAATTCATTCAGGTGGTCGTCTATGAATTATTTAAAGATATATATCATGTAATTTTAAGTATCAGTACACGGATCGGCAAAATTATAGAAACTAACGTATACACTGGCGATTATAAATAATGCATCAAAAAAAAAAAATTCGTTAGATCGAATTTTCTCGCGCAATTCTGCGTGTATCCTTTTACTTTTTTTTTTTTTTTATTTGTAAATACTATCTCTTTCATCAATAAAAATTTTTTAAAAAAT